TCTTCCTGGTATCCCAGATCTCCGGTGATCGAAATATTATTCCACAAGCGTGGATATATTAGTCCAGTGTTTTTAGCTGAAATGTTTGTTCACGTTCAGTGTTAGCAGCGGTCAAATATAGCCAACCGGCGGTCACAACAACAGTCACTCAGCAAAAGTCTCAAAGTCACGTTGGAGCCAACCAGCGGGCGGTAGCGGTTGTGTTTCGGTAAAACAAACTTTTGTACAGCAATGTGACTGATAATGATGGGGAAAAAGAGGATGAAAAGAAAAAGGTGCATGAAAAAGAGCAGTTTACAAGTGCTGCAAGTGAATTTCTCTACCCCTCTCTCTATCTATCTGGACAATAATCTGTACTTCCGGTTTATGGCATAGCCCGACAACCTAGGAGCTACTGGTGATTCTAGTGAGCGGACTAGATGGCTGTTGACCTTTCATTCATCTTGACAATTGACTTGCACACGCTCTGCTACCAGTCAAGGAGAGATGATCGGTGAGCGGATGTGCATGTCCAAATAATATGAGTCAAAAAATAATAGATGCTTTGTGGAATATTCAAAAATTATTTGGGCAATCAGGGTTTTGTTGTGCAACTGGTTAGACATACTAGCGGGTTTAAACGAATAGATATTTGTGAAACTGAACCCACATATGGTCGGTGTGGGTACAGCCAGTGAGTTGATGATGGCGTAACAATCACACACAAAGCAATGGGACGCAGTAGCAACAGCTTGTACCATTTGACACTGGGTTTTATTGAGTTTTTTGCAAAAATTGTTAGGCTTATCTTGATACATTTAGCACTACTTAGGTCACATGACGCCCTGTTGACTAGAGGTTGGTCGGTGTGGGCAGGTGGTTGAAACTTCAAGATTTGAAAGATGAGGATAGGCCAGACGCAATATTTTGTGAGCTACCGGGTAGAAGTTGATAACAGCTAGCAGTTTCTCCCCTCAGAACGCTTATCAATGAACTGATGCAACTTCAACATTGTTTTAACAGCTTTTTATCACAGTTTAATCAATGTTTCTAGGTCAGACTGTCATATTTAAGGTGTGTATTGATATGGCTTCTGACAATACCCCGGAAAAGGGATCCTTCAGACGACTTAAGAATCCGACATAAAATCCCAAGATGCTCATCGGCATTATCGGCTGCTTTGTGGCAGCGAGTCGTTTTCTAGATTCTGCTACATGATACTTCACAACTTCCATTCCTGGGTTACGAATGAAGGACCCGTGGATATCAAGTAAACAGACGAAGTTCATCTAGTCAAAGAGACAGAACGTGACACTTTCCCTTGTTAACTGGCCGTTTATTCCGTTCTAGCCGGGTTTTTTAGCAAAAACAGGCTAGTCTAAAGGGTTTTTATTCGTCATCGCTGTAAGAAGTTCTTCAAAAGTTGATATTGTCAGTAAATGTTTTTTTCAATAGACAGCTGATTTCAGGGAGCATGTCATCAATTTATACCATAAATGGAATAAAATCTAGTGTTTAGCCTTGAGGGCTAGCCAAAGTCTTCACATGGTTTCGCCAGTGGAAACAGTTACGATTCTGTGCTCAAGGCAAAATGTTAAGAAGAGAGCTATAGACACCATATGTATGTACGTAGGTTATTCTAGAATATATGTAGCGCTGCGTTCTGTGAAATTTCGGGGGGTTGAGGTAAATGTCTTCTACATCTTCAATGACATCAGTGTCCATGATTCAGCTTTCATGACAGAACAGGAGAATGATCATTTGTGAATGCTTGTGTATAATTTCTACTGTGCATTGTTAGATCTAGTTTATCTGCTCCATAACTGTCATGAGTACGGGATCATGAGATCGTTTATCACCCCACATGAACTAAAAATGTATATTGGATTCCTGTAAAGCTCAGTTTCGAGAGGCCGCCTGCAAAAAAACGTGAATGTCATCGGGTTGATATTTTTTATTCGCGTTGCGGCCTACCTTTGTGGAGCTTTGGACTTGCATTTTGTAGTTGGTCTATTGAAGACTGTGCTGGAAATCACCCCACGCAGATAGGTTTGAATTTGTGTCATACTAACGGGCGCATCCTTTAGAACAGCGACAAAGAGCTGCTGTTTTAATACGACACCGTCTGCTACTTTCAGACTCGGGTTCCAGGCAGTACGTAAACTGGGTAGCGGGAGATGCGTGCCAGGTTTGTTCATTTTTGCAGATGGTTGTGGAGCAAAGTTGTGTACCAAGGTATTTTCTTGTCTTGTCATCCATTTCTTTGCTTTCTCTTGGGTGCATTTCTGTGTCTCGTATGGACTTGCAAGCTTCAGTTTGATTTTTTCTTAATATTTCGTAGCTCTTCAATGCTTTAGCATGGTTCGCTTGCCGGAAGGTTTGCATACTGGGTGAGAGGTTTTGGCGTGTAGGATTGATGGTTTTGTTATCTCCTAGGTGTAAAGACAGTTGATGCCCATCTTATTTGCACGAGGTTCATAAAGAAATTCCAGAACAGCCACTCCCACTGCTCCCAGAGGTTTTGATCAGTGATTTTCTGTTGGATGGGGTAGCTGGGTCATTGAAGAGAATTTTAAGTTGATGTATGGGCGCAAAGGGCCAAATGGAGATTTCGGAGCTGTTCCTCAAGAAAAGAAAAAAATTGAGCTAAGGTACTGCCAAAGGATCTTAATTTTTGGTGAATCTCATAAATAACAGTACCACTACGATTTTAAAATCTTTGATCATTGCGCTGCTGTGGGGTGTAAATGACTAAAGCGGTGTAGGTGTCGTTGTGGGCTGGTAGTGAACGAAATGATATTGTGTCTCTTATTCAGTGTTCAAGGTGACTGGGTCATTGTAGATAAGGTCGTTGCGGAGTGGAGGGGTACCCCATCACATACTATCCGTCCTTCAAGATAGACAATATTTCTGTGAGATTCCTGAATACCAATAGTTTGCTAGATTTTGAATAAGGCCATTAATTCTTAGGGCGCGTTATTGGGTGCAGTAAATGAATAATGCCGTGTAGATGTCGTTGTGATCTGGTGGTGAACGAAATGATATTGTGTTTCTTATTCAGTGTTCAAGGTGATTGAGCCATTGTAGATAAACAACATTTCTGTGAGAGTCCTGAATACGAATAGTTTGCTAGATTTTGAATAAGGCCGTTATTGTGTGGGTGCCGCAATTTTGTAGCTTTACTTTGCAAACCACTGGAACTTGAGTGGCAGCAAAGAGAGAAAGAAAGTAAGGAAATACTGAGCAACCGAAAACTGCTTGTTGTTTACGCTGGACTGGTTAGATGAATCCTGAGTTATGCGTCGGCTGGCGACGGAGGTGTGTACAGAATATTTTCTGAAGGGTAGCACAAACCCTAAATCCCTGAGCGTAGTTTAAGAAGGGCAAATTATTGGTGGCCCCGCCGTGCTTCGAGCGCTGACGAAACCAAGTCCACGGATACCAAAACTTTCTTTAAGATTCATGGTCTGCTTTCATTGTATCTTATTATCAAGATATTACTTCACCCTTTACTAATTCTCTCGGATTTTTGATGCAGTAGAGGTTACGTAGAAGAGCCTGTATTCTGCTGAGTGTTTATGAGTGTTTTTCAAAGTGCACTTATAGGAAGGTATAACTATAACCCAATGTGTCTAGATATGAATAGATCGGCGCGTTATTAGCTGTTGATCAGGCAACAGTTGGTCTGCCTGACAAACCTGACAAGTGGTTTTCAGACGATTGGTCAGTATATAAGGAGCGACTGTTGGCGCATGGCTGGCTAGGTTGCTGGTTTGATGTATTGTTGATTATTACAGCTTCTGTTGGAATCCGTCCCATTTGGCTGAAGTGTTTGTGTTGTTTTGATGGTCAAATTTGATCCATAACCATTTAGAAATGCTCAAACAGCAATTTTCAGTTTTCAGTTTTTGTTTATCTTATTGCATTTCTGAATCTTGCAACGGCTTCTACGTATCCTTACACCCAGTATCAAGTATCCTTATATAGTCAACTGCGTACTGACGATGTCCTCGACCAAGGATGAAACGTTTTAAAGCCAGTTTCTAAGTTGAACAAACAGCTTAACGGCTACCTAATCTACCAATAGTAAACACCCGAGCTACCAATGCCTCACTATATTGACAAACCAACGACTGTAACCGTGGAAAACCCCAGTCCAAAAACAAACTTGGTGGGGTTGAAAAAGAAGATCTCTCGATATGAACATCGGTGTCTGAAACAGAAGATTAAGAGGACAACCGATGGCGAGCATGGATAAAATTGTAGCAATGGTGCACTCACAAGCACCGTACTTTTACTTTTTCTCAATCCATACAAGCATTCTGTGCCCACATCTATCACAGTAACTTGGTGCTGTAGAACACATTAGATCTAACATGATGGAAGGCGTCAAAGTAGGTACTCCCACCTCATCGGAATAGATGGTTTTTGAGTTTCATTGCAACCAAAGTATGATGAGCACACCAAGATTATGCACGACTGCATTCAGGCAGGACTTCCGAACATGCACCAAACTCCCCGGCTGATCAGAGTTTACACCAGAAAAGATCGTTTGGTAACCCTCACCATGCCAAGCGCATCCAACTCTCGTCTAGAAAGGTTGCACTATAGTTGGGAACTTCGGATGAATACTAGGGAAAAAATGTAAAGAAAAGATCGTTTGGTAACCCTCACCATGTCAAGCGCATCCAACTGTCGTCTAGGCGGGTTGCACTAGAGTTGGGAACTTCGGATGAATACTAGAGAGAAAAAATGTACAATGGAACACACAGCACTGGTTTGAGAGCAGAAAAGCCACCAACTCTTGCAAACCGCGACCACCTACGCTGGCGTGCAGCAAATCGCCCCAAGAAACCACCGTTTCTTGGTGTTTGCGCACGAAGGTTGGACTCAAGCGAACAACTCTACCGAATGCTAGATCATAACCCACATTTCGTAGTGCTTAGAACTGCGTGGATGGAAGCTTTTTTATACGCTCATTGATTTAAGTAATTGACTTCATGTTTGAGATACTGAATCTCCTATAATGTTTACTGGCGTGGATCTAGTTGGTTGAGCTGTCTTTTGGTTGTTGGTCTGTTCGCCGAGCTTGACAGTTGAATTGCAGACGTTTCATTACCAATGTGACGTAATCAGTGCGGGATCGAGTTGTCACCCCGATTGGGGGTGAAACGTTTTCAAGCCAACCGCCAACCTCGATGAACAGACAGACAATCAGGCAGCGCACCCTAGTTACCTATATTCCGCAACATTGTGTTGTCTTCTATTAGACGTATCCCGTCACCAGTAGACTGCCTGATGTAACACTCTAGCCTTTTGAGGGTGTTTTGTTGGACTTTGCCGAGCACGATCAGACGTTTAAGTCTGCATATTAAGCATTTCCTTGTTATCTCAATTATATGACGTAACCATGTGTCATACACCACTTTATCGGGCAGTTTAAGCAACTGCTATCTGTGGTTGCAACCTTCCAGTCAAAATTAAAGGAGACACTAGGATTTCACGAAGCCCACCTAGTCGGGAGAAGCAATAAGTTCCATAAAAAAGCAAAAGGGTTCAACTGAAGCAGCGGACACCGGTCCTATCTGTCCTCCCAAATTACCATTGCCCTAGTCTTTCGGGCGCTGATCCTCAAACTGGATCTTCTCAGCTTGATCCCAGCAGCTTCAAGCTTCTTCTAAAGGCAAGTTAACTTCCTGCGCACATGATTCGGTCGAGGAGAAACCATCCATTAAGGTGTCATGGAGCTGCTATTTTAGCTGTAGTATCGACAATCTAAGGACCTCATCGATCTTCATGAACAACATGGTGTGGAGTGTATTCCCCTGCCCCAAACATATGAGCTAGTCAACCTCTGAGTTTGAGTAAACTGCTGCATCATTTTAAAAGGACTATACAGTGCATAAAACTAGGGGGTGACTGTGCTTTTGATGTCTCGGTAGATCTTGAAATTTTGTCATGTGAGACAAAATCGGAGATTTTCGGGATGTCAACAAACGCCAGACTGAGGTTAGAAGCAGTCGCTGATGAGCGAAAAGGCACAGTGTGTAACAGCAAGGCGGCTTTTGAGCTGTCGCATCGATGTAGAGAAGCAAACTGGAGTAAATCTATTAAAATCTACGGCTCCGGCTAGCATCGTACTTTATGGAAGCATCAAACAAGAATGTGTGGCACGGAAGCCGGTCTCAGTTTGTCCGGTGAGGTCGGATATGAGACCTTCGGAACTGGGAACTCGACGTGAATGCCGTGGGGGGATATCAGAAAATAATGGTTAGTTGAAGCACCTGGTAACAGCGTCTTCGTTGAACCGGCGAGGCATCATGAGCAAGAGCTCGTCCAAACCTTAGGACGAATTGCCCAATACACGAGTCTTACGGCCAACTCCTTCGCCTGTATCTGGGTCAGATGGTGGCACTGCATGACTTGGCAAGCTATTCACGTGTTCTGGAGCAGAGCACACCTTTCCCAGTAATGCTCAGCGTCCCAATGAACGCCGCGTTTTCTTCTGTGTAGTTCCTTCTTTTACCCATCAAGTACAACAGACGCTGCATCACTCCGCCTTTGGTAGCATGCTGTCTGGGTGGTGGTGCAGATGTCTCAGTGGATCTGCTTTTGGTTGGCTGACACATAGTGGAGTTGCTGACGATAATACCGACAAATAGATTCCCATGTGTGTAGGAATGCCCTGGACACGTGGATGTACAGAGGCAACAGGACTCAATGCGGTTTCATAGTGCCATGTTTGAACTCTCAAAAAGGACCAGAAGGTCAAAACCAGTGAGCAACTTGTAAGGGTTGGATTCCAAGTGTGATCCGATGTGATCCATGTTCTATTTGGACTGGGTTGTATGGGTTTCAGATCCGGAAGAATGTGGAGATCTTTCAGCGGTGGTCTGATCTAAGCCACTAGATAACGCCTCGTTCAGGTGGGCTTGCCAGTTAAGCAAACGTAAACTGGTTCTGATACTGGCAACCGATCAACCAGGCGAATATCGCCCCAGCCTCATGACCAGTGCGGTGTGCGTGTCACAAGACGAATACATCTAATATCCAGGCGCAATAGTGACCGTGACTCTTGCTGGGACCAGTGTATACCGGCAATCTTCACTCTGCCAAGCTTGGCTGCACTGGTGGTGTATTCAT